GTTCCCCAAATCCAGCCCTGCCAGCACAGACAGGACTCCCAGGAGCCACAGAACCAGCAGGAGGGTTGGCACAGTGGCTGGGCAGCGTGGCTGGCTCCCAGCCTGGCTGGTTGTTACGGGAAGGTGATATTTTGCTGTGGGCAATGAGAACTAAAGGAAACAATTAAAACTAAATAGGCTGGAACCGAGCAATTTTTCAGCTTTCCACTGAGAAGAAAAAGAGCTCCTTTGTGAACAGTGAAATCCTCCTGGCAAGCTGTAGGATCCCACCTGATGAAGCAAAAGCTGCACCATTACACTGCAGAAGGGATCCCAGTGGAAAACCCACAGGGGTGGTGTCCCTTGCTGCCCTTAGAACCAGGCCACCAGCACAAGGCAGCCATGCCCTGGGCAGGGGAGGCTGGGGGTGCTTTGGGGACAAGGCTGGTGCTGTCCTACCTATCACCAACCCACTGGTCAGTGCTGAGGCTACTCCTCCTTCCAAGTGACAACCACTGGAGGAGTCATGTCCACCCTGTAGCTTGCATCAGTCAGAGTGCTGAGAGGGGCTCCAACTTGTAGCTTTTCTTTGCCAAGGTCCTGGCAGCTCTCACATGTCCTGCTTGTCCTCACCTCCTTTCGGCAGGTGAAGATCTCTGCTGCTGCAGCCTCCGTGCAAGGCTGGAGGAGGGTTCAGTCACTGAGCTGATAGTGCCCCATGGTTCTGCTGCAGATTCTCCATGTGAGCACGGCTCTGGTGGCTTTGCAGGGCTCAAAAGGGCATGGGAGGATTTGGGAGAAGAAATCCACCCACCAGGGCCATGCAGCATGAGGATGGACTCTCTGCAGTGCCACCCGGTGCAGCTCCTTCACTGTCACCTGGAACCATACATAAATAAGGATTTTTTTCCTTTGATCAGTCTGGGTTAATTTGATGAGCAGAGACAGACTGAACTTTCATGCAATTACTGTTTTCTTCCCTCCTGCCCCAGATTTGCTTCCCTTTTTTAGCTCAGGCCAATGCTGCAATAGAAAACATAGGGCAGGTGTCGAGAGCATCTTGACAGCAATTCCCTAAATTCTCCTAAATTCCTCCTGCCCAGGAGCTGTGGCAAAAGTTTGAGTTTCACACCAATTCAATCCTAGCTGAATGCCCTGAGTTCTTCAGTTGTGTCTGGCTTTTAGGTCTGGCATCCTTGAAGAACAATATCCATTTGAATTGCTGATTTGGGCTTGCTCATTTAATTTCATCTTAATAAAGATTTTATGTGGTTTTGACATATTCAGTGTCTCGAGTGTATTGATACGGCAGCCTGAAGAAGCATTATGACCATAATGGCTCAAAAAGCATTAAAAAGACCCTGGCAAGGTTTATTGATTGCCCTCTTTTACAGCTGCTTGAAGACAAAGACCAGTCATAGGGAAGAGTGAGTACTGTGCTCTGATTTTTTGTGGGCTTCCCGATGTTACAACAAAAGGCAGTTGCAAACAAATGTCTGCAAGCTCTTCATCAGGACATGGGAAAGCAGCAGTCCTGTTGATGGGATGTTGTCAGGAGGGCAATTTTAAAGGAAAAATCCTGCAGATAGCAGAAAAGTCACCTCCAAGGAAGGGAAGTCAAAGTGTAAATAAATAAGTAAGTGATGAAGATGCTGTTAGGAAAATTAACACACAAACACCAGAGGTTTATGTCCAAAAACGAAACAAAGGAGTCCTTTTACTTTATTCCAATAAAGGGAGAGGCCATGGGGTGTCCCCGGGGATCTCTCAGATTTTTGGAGGACACAGCCTCCTTTTAATCTCAATTTCCCAGCCACATTTCCCTTCTCTCTTTCCCCATTTCTGAGGTATGTGAAAGGTTCAGACTCCCCAGAACACCTGATACCAGAGGTTTCCCTCTAATGTATAACCCTCCCTTTTAATTGTTAATTCTTACAGAATTCAGGGGGTTTTCTTCCCCATTCTTTCTTTTGTCTTTCAATGTCTCATTTCATTTATCAGCAAACCTAAAGTTTTTTTGTAAAAGCAAATATCTTTTTCCATTCATCAATCAGTGGAATCCTTCCCATTGTTTCTTTTATCTCCTAGTGCTGTTTTTATCTACCAGCAGACCCACAGCTTGTCTGTAAAGACAAATCCACCATTCCTCTCAGTGCCAGGTCCTCCCCACTGGTGTATCCCCAAGGAAAAGCCCTCATGCCTCACTGGGGACTTGCTGGAGCAGGTTGATGGAAAGGATAAATCATCTGCCAAAATCTGTCCTCAGAGCTGTGGATTTCCACATGGGCTTTTCCCAGCTAATATGTGAAAACACAAACGCATTGTGGGCATTTTGTGCTGAGTGCAACAGAGATAAAAATTAGTACAATGATCCTTTGGCAAGGTAGGAATGTGCTGGAGATGGGAGAGCAGAATAATTATCTCCTCATGGCTGGCATCTGCATACTGAGGTGCACCCAAGAGGCCTTTGCACAGCCACCTGCCCAACTGCTGATGGCAGGATTTTATAAAGGCAGTTCAGTAATTGCAGGCCATTTCCTCTGGCCCAGGCAGGGGTGCCCTCTGTTCAGTGGAGCCATGCACCGAGGGGGAAAACCAGCAGCACCGGCCTGGCACTGCCTGTGTGCCCAGGGATGTGCTGGGGGTGCCAGCCTGGCTGTGCCTGTGTGCCCAGGAGATGTGCTGGGGATGGTGCCAGCCTGGCTGTGCCCAGGAAATGTGCTGGGGGTGCCAGCCTGGCTGTGCCTGTGTGCCGAGGAGATGTGCTGGGGGTGCTGGTGCCAGCCTGGCTATGCCCTGGAGATGTGCTGGGGATGGTGCCAGCCTGGCTGTGTCTGTGTGCCAAGGAGATGTGCTAGGGGTGCCAGCCTGGCTGTGCCTGTGTGCCCAGGAGATGTGCTGGGGATGGTGCCAGCCTGGCTGTGTCTGTGTGCCCAGGGATGTGCTGGGGGTGCTGGTGCCAGCCTGGCTGTGCCCTGGAGATGTGCTGGGGATGGTGCCAGCCTGGCAGTGCCTGTGTGCCCAGGGATGTGCTGGGGATGTGTTGCGGTGTGTTGCAATGTCCTGTTTTAAACTTCCGGGTCCCTTCCCAGGTGTGCCTATGCCTCTCTCCCTGCCCCCTCGCCCCCTTGCTGAGTGAGCCCTGTCAATCAAGTTTAAGATTCCAGCAAGGCGTCGTGTGGTTAGTCAGATTCAAAAGATGCCCCTATGCCCAGAGGTCATTGGCCTGTCTAAGTGTCATCCTCCCTTGAGACCCTGCCCCTCTCACCTGGTTGGTAACTCACCTGTCCCCTCC